CTTTGGTTATATTAGATATCCGCAAGAATGGCACCGAGTCAGGGTTTCCTAAATTTCCCAAAATAAAATATTTAGGTGGCGACTCTGTATCTGGCAAAGCAGTCCATGTTTGGCACTTCTTTCAAAAATCTGTTTTCTCAAAACGATTTGCCGAATTTGGACTCTTTGGTTCAGACTTAGAACCGTGACTACAAATCGAGTCCGAGCTGTAGCGAGGCCCCCCGCGGGCTTGTTACAAATATATATAATTATATATAATAGATATGAATATGCATATTATTTTATTACTATTTAATCGAAAATTTCAATTTATATGGACCATTTAAATTGTTAATTGAATAATACACATATGATTCTTAAACTATAAGCTTCATGTCACATTGGTACCTAGAAGTTCAAATTTTGCCACTTTAATCCTTAAACATGAAGATGAATATAACATTTCAGTGTTGTTGAGGAATGAAATTAATAAAATTAAAAAATTAAGGATTAAATTAACACAAAATGCATAGAATTATAGATGCATTTTATAATTATTTTAGATGGTCATCAATTTAATTCAAACTAATTAAATTATAACTTCAATAATAAAGGATTGCATTGTGTTTCAAACCAATCATATAATAAAAAAATTTATTGATAAAACATATTAATTCACTTTTATTAAGTAATTTGAAAATAAAGAATAACTTAATTAATATGAGTTATGTTTTTTTATTAAAAGGAATAACAGCTTTTGCTTCAATGGTGAATCTGTTATTTGGATAAAGGCATATTTTAAGATGGTTAAAAATCATTTTCTAGTTTTTAACTCATTTTAAGTCACATTATCTTTCACATTTTTTTTAAAAAAATAAATCAAAAAATTAACTTTTAATCAACTTTCCAAAATAATTCAAAGAATGTCGCATTTTATATGACTAGGCAAATTATTCATTTAAAAAAAAATTATTACCCCAAAATTCTTTCTATTAATGAATATCAATGCCTACATTTTGACTACCTCAATTTCAAAAATGGTACAAATATCCCCATTTTGAAAGTAGCATGGTGAAAGTGAAAGTGATATACATTTTTATAGTTGAAGAGTCAATATGTAAGAGATAAAGGATTAAAGTGATATTTATTAATAATTGATGGGTATTAGTGTAATTAGCTTAAAAAACAAATTGTTAAAAAAAAAACCCTAATCTCTCACAATCACAAA